CTTATAAGCTTTTTATACATACCACTTTACAAACTTATAAGCTTTTTATACATACCACTTTACATGGAAAAGTTCACCAGTGGGTGATTCCACGAGGTGGTCGGCCCTGGAACACGTAGTAACGTCCTCCAAATCGGCAACCACAGACTTAGGAAGTTGGTCAAATTCAATGTCAATAATCTCGGGTTGGTCTTCTTCTTCGTCCTCGAAATTGAGATTCAAAGAGCACAAGTGCTTGCCTCCAGGTGATGGAATATAGTACTTTTGATCTCTCTTGGAGAACATTAAACTCGAAAAAGGGCTTATAGCCTCCGGGATGGAGTCGATGTTGAACCATTTACGGTTGCCAAATGGCCTACAAAGACTTAATCGGGATCCCGATAACTTGACACCCACGACCCAGTCTTTATCTCGAACAGGTAAACAAGACATTGCAATGTTTTGGATCTTGGAACCTCTAGGCAAAGGAGGTGAGAAATTTTCAAATCTTTTATTTGGGGGTTTGATGATTTGTGTTCGATGAAATAACGATCATCATCGCCGTACCAAACGTCAAATCTCGACAAACGCGAAAATCCAAAAGTCATCGCGTCACAGACCTCATCCTTGAGTTTCGAGTCACTAATCGAGATTCCAATTTGCTTGCAGCAATTTGGAAGATGGTTTTCATACCATTGTCTTACGCGACCATCGCCATGAAGCCCATGATGGTCTTTGATGTTTAGGACATAGTCAATCAACATAAACGGATAGGTTGGTGCAGATGAAAACATCCGAACGTTCGTGTGTCTCTGCCATGCATTTGTACGTACGACGTACCATTGAAAATAATCAGAGATAACAAAAAAATGAATTAAAAAGAAAGCAAAACAGAGCAGAAGCTTTACTTACGAGAACATTTTTGAAGACTGAGGGTTTGACAAGTCGGAGCCGAGACATTTTTGAAACCCTAATGAAAACTATATGTTGTGATTGTGATTACTCATCTCTTCTCCATCTCTGTTTTATAATTAATTTGCATTGAATATTACCCCTTGCCTATCAAGTTCACATTAAATAGATAATCAACTATTTTAGGAAGTAAAATATTCTGCTAATATATAAGTTTTTTAAAAA